CGCGTGTGCGTGCGTGCATGCGTGCGTGCGTGTGTGTGTTTGTTAATTCATATCATTTTACTTTTAACTTTTATACAACACATTGTTTAAAAAAATGACCGAATTATCCTGTTGTCATTAAAATACAAAATAATTTAGACAAACATATTAATCATATAATGTCACAATTAAAATAAAATAAAAAATGGCTATGAAAAATAAAAGTACTATACAATAATATATAAATTTGATCTTAATTTGTTAACTATTTATCATAAAGTCATAAAAATGTTAGGTTCAAAAGATGATTTTATTATAAAAATTATTGACCAATGATAAAATATGTGGTTTATTATTTTGTTGATCTCTATTCCTACCTAATAAATGAAGTTTTTTTGTCACATGTCTTCGCCTAATTCAATATGCCACATTGTATTTGTTTTTTAAATTTTTTAAATTTCATTTAAATCCACTTGGCAAATTATGGTTTTTTTCGCTTTGTTATTAAATTATAAAAAATCTAATCTAAAAATATAATAAAGAAAATAAGGAAACTTAAATGTCTCCGTAAATTCTCACGTAATTTGTCAATTAATGTATTAAATTCAATTTAAATTCAAATCAACCTTCTTAACTGAAAACATAAATTTCGGCCAATTCTTTTTGAATTCACGATAATTTGCAGAAACCTTGCAAAAATTGGAGAGAAAATTACACGAATGGTCCCTATGGTTTGTGGTTACTTGCACGCTTGGTCCCTAGAAAGATTTTTTAACTCGGACCGTCCCCGAAACTTTAATGTGTTACCCGCCCAATCCCTCTCTTAACTTTTCTGTCTATTTAGGTGTTAGTAACTCCCATACCGGGGGCATTTTTGTCCTTTCGCCATTGCAAGGCCTCTAAAACCCACCCCTTCATTATTTGTGGTCATTGTAGCCCTTTGTGCCTTCAGAATTTGGAAAGACGGGTCGGGTTGCAGAGGGATCAAGCTTCCATTGAAGATATTCTCATTCCTAATATGGGGTATTCAAGTGAGACACTTTATGAGATCGATTGTGTTCAAAGGATGCTTGATCATTTCATGGTTGCAGATCGAGATCACGATCAAGATGGAAGTGAAATTACTGATTTGGGTTGCTTAGAAGACAATGACGTTGATTTAATCAGGAATTCTCACTCGCTTACACCCGTGACGATGGTGGCTAATCTCATCGACAACTATCTTGCTGAGGTGGCATCCGATGTTAACTTAAAGCTCGAAAAGTTTCAATCTTTGGTTGCTACTGTCACTGATTTTTCAAGGTCAAACGATGACGGAATGTATCGAGCAATAGATATATATATCTCAATGTACAGTTGACTTTTAAAGTCAAAATTGAGACCGAAATTGTTAGAAATTCAGGATAAAGATTTTCTTATACGTAATATTTGCAATCATATAAAGAGGGAAAAAATCTTTTTCAATTTAGTCATAGAAATTTCTAAAATGTTGAAACGGAAGTTCGAACTCAAATGGCGAAACCTTGTAATCGTAATTTTACAGGCACATCCATGGCTGACAGATTCCGATTGGGAACTACTCTGTCGATTGATGGCCTGCCAGAAACTGTCACTAGAAGCCAGCACACACGGCGCCCAGAATGAGAGACTGCCGCTCCGTTTCATAGTTCAGGGTTCTCTTCTTCGAGCAGCTCCGGCTGCGGACATCTGTCGTCGGCTGCTTTTATGTCTCTTAAAATTACAACTCACAGACACACCTGAGCAGCAACATGGTGCTGCCGGAAAAGTGGGAATGTGCACCATTTTCCCTTCGTTTGGATCGCATGCCCAGGAGAAGAACATGAAAGGAAGAAGTGAGAAGAAATTGAGAAAAAGAATGAATGAGGTGGGTTTTAGAGGCCTTGCAATGGCGAAAGGACAAAAATGCCCCCGGTATGGGAGTTACTAACACCTAAACAGACGGAAAAATTAAGAGAGGGACTGGACGGGTAACAAATTAAAGTTTTGGGGACGGTCCGAGTTAAAAAATCTTTCTAGGGACCAAGCGTGCAAGTGACCACAAACCATAGGGACCATTCGTGTAATTTTCTCAAAATTGGTTCATTCACGACTAATATTGATATTCTTTCCAAATTCAGTTTTGTAAATTCTTAAACATGTAATGCTTAACAAAATATATTAATTTAAAAAAAAAATTGTGTATTACACTGGTCTCACACCTAGTAAGTAACAAATAGTCTATCTGATTTCAATGTGGAATCTCTTAAATTAATTGAAATTGAAAGGAATTTGAATTTGATGGAACCTTTAGTGTTATTAAGCTAAAACTATTTAAATTTTAGTATTAAAAAACAATTTTAAGTCTAAAAAAAGCAATTTATTTAACTTTTGTTTTATTTTAGCAACATGCAAACATTAAAAAACAAACAATATATTCTTCCATATTACAATTTGATCCACATTTTCTACAACAGAAGGCTTCAATATTTTATATTCAAAAAATAAAATAACACCTAAAGCTTCTTCAACATAGGTATACTCAAAATCCCATGCCTAATAAGCAATGGGCTAGAGCTATACATGAACAAAAAGATCGGTCTCGGATCGGACTCGAAAAAAGACTGAGATCGAACCGGTCTAAAATGAGACAAGACCTGAAAAAAAACAGTTCTAAAAAAATGACCCATTCCGAGACCGATTCCAAAATGAACCGAACTGTTTTGAGACCAACACAAGACTGGTCCAAGATCAATACAAGACCGATCCGAGACTGGTCTAAAAAAGACAGATATTCAAACTTTATAAATATATCATTTTTGCTGTAATTATACAATTTTTAATCAAATATTATCTAACTTATTTAATATATTTTGCTTTTATTAAACTTAAATTATCATTTTTAACAAATCTTAATCTATCATTTTGGTATTAACCACATATTTGTTAACGAAAACAAACTCAAAACCGAAATAAAAGAATCGAAACAAACTGAAACCAAACAAGAAAAAACCGTAAAACAAATCGAAAAAGATACACACAAAGACTACAAGACGGACCGAATAGAATAGCACGCAACCATCAATATGCAGCTCTAACAAGAGTTAAGGCCGGTATAACTTCTGCCCAATATGATATAAGAGTCCAAAGGCCCAACCAATCCCAACTATTAAAGTATTAATTGGGTTATGTCATATTTTATTTTCTTTAATATTATTATTTTGTCAATATTTCATTTTACTACAAGACTTTTGATAATAAACTATCATTTATAATAATTATTATACATTTTAGCGATTTTATATAAACTAGTTTTTAATATCGATATGGTTCCACGAATAATATATTACATAATATTTTGTAGTTTTCTTATCGCAATTTTAGAGTTATAAATATAATAAACTAGGTTACAACTCATTGAAACCATAGGTAAAAAATAACAATAACATTGATAATTAAAAATGGTAAATAAAAATTAAAGTTATAAAGTTTATCAAATTAATAAGATATATGTTTTCTTTAGGCTTTTATTTTGATTATTTAAAATTTATA